GTAAGCAATCCCAGGCCGGATTTTATGTTGGTTCCAAGATGACAGCGTGTCAGGATCTGTGGAGGGAGTAGCGTGCAGTAATAGTCTCCATGGCCTTGGACCATTTGTTGCTATAAGAACAAGTTAAAAAGGCTTGTCTGGCTAGTAGGGAACTGGGGCTTTAATTAATTTACAATAAAAACTAATAATTCTAATGTGGGCTCTCGCAACAATGGAGGGGAGGCCCAGTTCTGTTCTTAACTGTGCAGCAACCGAGCCCTTGGGGAGACCCAGTGACTTCGTGCAAAAAGTTTTGTAGGATCTCGAGCCGTTGTAGTGTTTTTAATTCCACCCCAGATTTCAACCCCATACAGTAAATCGGAGACTTTTAACTGATATAAATGCTTTTTCTGATTGGTGGAACCAACTGGCTGGCCTTTTTGCCATAGAAGAATTTCTCGCAGGGCACGCAGATTTTTTCCGGTCTTGTGGCCAGCAAGACTAAGCCGCTTCTGGCGAACCAGAGCAGCGCACAGAAACGCCATTTACCGTCCCGCTGGAGCGGTACCTATTTATCTACTTGCACTTTGACGTGGTTTGGAACTGCTAGGTTGGCAGGAGCAGGGACCGAGCAACGGGAGCTCACCCCGTCAAAGACGCAAGTCCAGTTCGTATCTGCATGACATCCTCCCACCCAAATGCTCTCCCGTTCTGTTTTCCCCCACTTAATCCGGATACACCATCTCCATTGAAAACTCTGCTCAGTGACACCCATCCAATAGAAAAGTGCTGACCGTCTTCCTGCAGATACACTTCCATGCAGGGTTTGGCCGACAAGTTCTTCCCGAGTGGGGGGTGTTTTCAGGGGCTCTTTGCTTTTCCTGCCTCCCCTTTCTCCTCACCTGAGGAGATCTTGGCCATTCTCTTGACAGGGACCTCCCTTCTCAGGCCCGGATTTCTGTTTTCCTTCATTCCTCCTTCTCCCCGTCTGGTTCCCTGAGAAATAAGAGAGAGGAGGTTTCATGCAAGTCAAGGTGTGCAATGGATCTTCAGGGCATTTGGAAGGAAGAAAAGGTTCAGGAACAAGCGACGCAGCAGCCCCCCAAGGGAAAAACACATTTGACATATCGCTCATGAGATTCGCCCCCCCCCCCCCCTTTTTAGGATATATATGCAGAACATCCGTGCTCCTATTAATATACAAAGTGGGGTATTTCATATGATAAAACAGGAAGCTGCCTTAGACGGAGCCAGACCTTTTGGGAAAGTGCTACATGGGCCAGTCCACCAACTGGCTACCAATGAGAACCCTAGCAAACACAAAATGGCTGCCATATGGTGTGGTATGGAAATTAAAATTGCCTGGCTGTGGGGCGTGAAGGCCGCTCCCCACAAGGCCCTTTCCACCTGGCCTAGGAGGGCGAGGCCCACTCTCACCAGCCCCACTGAAGAGGCTCCTCATGAGGCTGGAGGAACACCACCCCACTGGTGAGGCGTGAAGGCCGCTCCCTGCATGTAGGTTAATTCACAAGCAAGGGCAGTGAGCTCCTTCAAGGTGTTTTTGTTTTTATGTAACAGTTCAGATTTTGCAGCACTTATTCTGATTGCTAATGCTTTTGCTTGGGAAATCTCAGTCATGAAGAAATAAGAGTGAAGACAAGCTCCTGAAGTCATTGGCGTAAGCCAAAAGCAGGAGGGAAAAAGCGATAAGTTTTCAATCACGATTGGCAGGCCAATTCTGAGAGGAAGGGACTGTGGTCAGTGTTTTGCAGGAGCGATTTGCATGCTGCCATGTCAGTTTGCCCAATTAAAGCAGAATTAAAGCACTCTGGTGCAACAAATCCACTTTTTAAAGGACTTATTTGCAGTTAGGGGAGTGACAGGGCAATGCACTAAAAAGTATAGTGTAAATTACTGATGGTGGAACCCAGAAGCAAATCAGGATGAATGCTAAATAGAATTGGCATCATCTAAACTCCACATAAATTTTGTGCAAGCAAATCAGGTTGAGTGTTTATTTATTTTATTTTAATTTTTTTTAAGGTTCTGCACGAGCCCCTTTACTGACTTGTGAATTCACCTTCACATACCATGTTCATTACGCTTTCACCCAGTTTCCAGTAGAATGGCGCCATCTACTGGAAGATAGCAATAAAAAGCCTTTACAATGTTAACTGTATGAGCTGCTACTTAAAAGTAACTTTACAGTCTTACAAGAGACGAGGCCATGGACCGGGCACAGTCCACCTCAGCTCGCCTCTCCACGTGGCTCCCTAAAGTGAAAGTGGTAAGATAATAATAATAATAATAATAATAATAATAATAATAATAATAATTTATTATTTATACCCCGCCCATCTGGCTGAGTTTCCCCAGCCACTCTGGGCGGCTCCCAATCAGTGTTAAAAACAGTACAGCGTTACATATTAAAAACTTCCCTGAACAGGGCTGCCTTAAGATGTCTTCTGAATATCAGGTAATTATTTATCTCTTTGACATCTAATGGGAGGGCGTTCCACAGGGCGGGCGCCACTACCGAGAAGGCCCTCTGTCTGGTTCCCTGTAGCCTCACTTCTCGCAATGAGGGAACCGCCAGAAGGCCCTCGGCGCTGGATCTCAGTGTCCGGGCTGAATGATGGGGGTGGAGACGCTCCTTCAGGTATACAGGACCGAGGCCGTTTAGGGCTTTAAAGGTCAGCACCAACACTTTGAATCGTGCTCGGAAACGTACTGGGAGCCTATGCAGGTCCTCTCAGAACCGGTGTTATATGGTCCCGGCGGCCACTCCCAGTCACCAGTCTAGCTGCCGCATTCTGGATTAATTGCAGTTTCCGGGGTCACCTTCAAAGGTAGCCCCACGTAGAGCGCGTTGCAGTAGTCCAAGCGTGAGATAACTAGAGCATGCACCACTCTGGCGAGACAGTTCGCGGGCAGGTAGGGTCTTAGCCTGCGTACCAGGTGGAGCTGGTAGACAGCTGCCCTGGA